ACACTGCCTTGGCACGACACCCCTACAAACTCAAACATCCAGGCAGGTGTCGTGTCCCARCAGCATCATTCAGGGAGGGCTCCTTTGCACCTGCCCACAGGTGTATTTAGGTGCTGCCACCAAAAACACCACTTTGGGTTTCATAAAATCCCAAAAATGCCGACATTGAAACTGGATTAATCTTTTTACCCTGCACATGCATCCATCACTGTCCTGGGGCAAACTCAGCCTCAGTGCTGGTGCTACACCAGCGTTCCCAGCCCCGTGCTGGTGCTCTCTCTTCTGCCTGTCCTTCACCACCATCTTCCCCCTCGGCTCAATGACAGCAGGATGTGCTCAGTGTCTCTCGAGAGTTTTGCTGRGCTGGGCACCTTCAGGCTGTGCCCTGGTTTGGCCCTGGGGCTGTGACAGGGGTGCCCCAGGCAATGCCCCGTGTGTGGGCAGGGCTGGAAAGGAGGGTGCTCTGGCACACTGTGGCTGCCATTGCCTTCCTCCCCGTGCTGTTCTTCCTCACGCTAGGGCCTGCAGCAGGAGCAAGCAGTGTTGGCTGCGAGGTGGAGGCTGATAGGGAGCCCTTGAACATGCTGGCAAAAATCATCAGAYGTCCCTGAAATCTCAGATCAGGAGAGCCAACAGCCCTCGGGCTCCTGCTTTGCATGGCCAGGGCTTTTTGGAGCCATTCACCTTCACTGTGAGGACAGCAGCAGTGTCCGCTCACCTCTGGCACATGCACATGTGAGAGATGATGTTAAACRTGAAGAGTGAAGGAGGAGGGAGACCCTGAATCAGCAGGACACAAGTCGAGGGTTTGGGGGTTTTGGGGTGTTTGCAGTGAGGGTCTGTCAGCATCCTCTGAAGTGAGCACGGTCACACCCGTGATGATGCTGGAGCCTTCCCAGAGTGTCCCTCCACAGCCTTTATTCCGTGTTCCTGATTATTGCAGCAGTGGATGGATCTCCTCAGTTTTTGGGTCTGAKAACAGAGCTCTGAGGACACAGAGGAAAGGATGGCAGCATTGTGAGGGGACTCATGAGTTTGGTTGGCACATCCCAACGTCAGCAGCTCGTGCTGGGGACTGCAGCCCCGTGCTGCCACCGTGCYGGGGCTCAGCAGGGATGGCTTCCCCAGCAGGGTGGCACTGCTCCCCTTTGTCACAGGAATGCCCAAGTCACTCCCCAGGGCAGATCTGGGCTCGGTGGGGCTGCGGGGGCTCTGGGGGGGTTTCAGGCTGGCACATGCATGCGTGGTCTAGCACGGGGGGAAAAACTTGAAGTCAAATGTCTGAAAGTCAGATCCCTTTTTAGTATGAATTTGCTGTATCTCATTCTGAGCACTAATTCCAATTTAATTGCAAGTGGCCTGAAGCCTCTTCAATAGGAGTAACAAATGGTTTGATTTTGTAAACTTCATCAGACTGCATTTTAAATGCGACACACTAGCCCGGCTCGAATGCCAATGAAGCACTGAAGTAGCTCTCTGTTTACTAATTATCCGTTTTTACTTCAAGCCACGCTGGCTGGCTTGTCTGATTAAATCGGATTTGTGGGATAGAGAACAGCTAGCAGAGTTTTCTCTATAGTAAACGAGATTGAAACTATGGCCCGCCTGGCTGCACACTGTAAATTATATTTCCTTTTAAAGGGGACGTGTCGCCTTTCTCCTGTGGTGCACCTCCCGCATCCAGAACTCCACCAGAGCCCGTGCTGAGGGACACCCACCCCGGGCTGCCTCCCTCYCTCACCCAAAGCCACAGCAGTTTTCAGTTCCATTGCTGCTCTGGCACAGGCAGCGGGCAGGAGGCGGTGCCACGWTCAGCACACGGTGCTGCACATCCCTCGGCTGGGGTGCACTGTCAAACGTTGCATCTCGCTTGTCATCACGTCTCTGGTGATTTGTGATCACGCTGCTGGAGAACAGAGATGTGGATCCCCAGGCTTGCAGCCGTAGGGTTTTCCCTCHCTCCAGCAAGCATGCGTCCCCTAAAAATCAGTTTTGGTGCAACCTTCTATTAAAAAAGGTCCTGCAAGATGTGGCCAACACGCTTACCCAAAGAGCAGCTAAGGCCTAAATCACTGCAGCATCCCCCTTGGAGCCCTGTGGCAGTGCCAGCAGCTGGGACTGGATGTCACTGGTGGCACAGAGCTGCTGGCACAGCACTGCCTGATGGGGACACAGCACTGGGGACAGTGGGCAAAGGTGGCAGCTGAGCAGAGCAGGGGCTGCGCTTAAACCTCCCCACTTGCCAAGACTTCAGTTCTGCGAGCTTGACCTACGCCGCCCCCTCCCTTGGTATCTATCTTTGTGCCCGGGGGCTTTTTATATTTTAATTTGCTTTTGAACGTCCTGCAAAATTAATGGTGCGCTTGGGGCCATTGTGCGGTGTACAGTAGAGGGAAGGGCTGTCGGCGCCCGCCGAGAGTCACTGCGTTTCCCGGGGAATGAATTGCTTGCCCGCCTTCACCCCTTTTAATTGTTGACAGTAAAAAGCGTTTAAATGCTGCTTAATTTGTAATCATCTTCCCGCAAAAAGGGAAGAAACCATTAAAATGTCAGGGAATTGAATAAATCCGTCCCTCACCGATTTGGGGCGGCAGCATTTCTTTATCAGGAGTGATTTTTCTTCCGATGGCTGAGGGCTGGCTYGGGGCTTCTGTGGCTGGAGCCCAGAGATGCAGGACAAGGGCTGAGTCCCGTGTCACTCAGAGTGGCACTCTCTCAAGAGTTTTGCTATTTTTTCCCTCTCCATCCTCTCTCCAAAGGTGTGACATAGTTGACACGTAGATTAAAAACAAACGAAGCCACTTGTCGGCCGGCAGTGGGATGGTACCGATCAGAGCCAGTGCAGTGCCCGCCGCGCCCTTGGCTGCTGGAGAGCATCATCTGTGGAGCACCAGGACTGGGAACGAGCCGTGCCCGAGCTCCGTGCTCMATTCCAGCCTGGGCTCTGTGCTGGGTGCAGGGCATCTCCCCCATCCTCCACTCTGCACCCGCTGGTGTCAGCCTTTGTGTCGGGCGGTGCTCCTCTCTCAGAACACAAACCGGCCCCCGGTGCCTCCGAACGGCCGTTCACAGTCACCTCCCCGCTCCGGTGTTTATTTGTGATGCGTTATCGGGCGGGGAGCAGGAAGGAAAAGCTGCCTTTGGCAGGTCCCGGGAAGCGGCACCGGGGGATGCCGGCTCCGGTAACCGGCCCCGTCCCCCGTGCGTGTGCGAGGCGGCTCATCCCCATCGCTGCGCCTGCTGCAGTCAGAACATTTTTTTTTTTCAAGCGGGGGCCAATTAGTTTCACAAATGAGGGCCCTACGGTGCCAGGGAGGATTTGTTACGGCCCTGCGCGCCAGCCCGGCGGCATTGTCCTGCCCTCCGCCCCCACGGGAGCCCATTGTCCCCGGCCCCAGCAGGGGCTGCTGGCGGCAGATTTATCGGGGCCGGCGTCCCGCGGGCCGGGGCCTCCGCTCCGCAGCTGGCCACGGCGCTGGGGCTCAGCCCCGGGGACCTTTGACCCGTCCTGCTGTCACCGCCGGGGCCGCCGAGGGCCGCGGGGCCACATACCTCTTGGGATTTGCTTCGCACTGCCCGTTCGGGGCTGCATGCTTTTTTTTAAATTTTTTTTTTGTCTCGGGAGCGTTTTGTCCGCAGCTGCGTGGGGGGCACATGAACCTGCACCCCCCCAGGATAAATCCCTGCGGAGGAAGAAAGGCAGCTCCCATGCAGGGCCACCTCTCTTGCTCTTTTATTCCTGTTTCACTGGGGGTTTTGTCMGATTTCGGAGCATTTTTGGGTAGCCCAGTGTGAGGCTGGGACTGAACGTCCCCCCAGAAAGCTCCTGCATCCCCAGCAGGGCAGTGCTGGGTGCACCAGGCTGTCACCCCTGGGTGGATGGGAGCCCAGTGGCCGAGCAGGGGATGGTGTGACAGAGCAGGGGATGGTGTGAGCCAAGCAGGGGATGGTGTGACAGAGCAGGGGATGGTGTGACAGAGCAGGGGATGGTGTGACAGAGCAGGGGATGGTGTGACAGAGCAGGGGATGGTGTGACAGAGCAGGGGATGGTGTGACAGAGCAGGGGATGGTGTGACAGAGCAGGGGACAGTGTGAGCAGAGCAGGTGACGGTGTGAATCTGGGATTGCTCTCCAGGATTGTGTGTGGTTCCCATCTGGAGGTACAGGTCTGCCCAGAGCATCCTTCCCTGGCACTGCCACACACCAGGCAGGACGGTGATGCTGGCAGTGCCACTGCCTGTCCTGTCCCTGCCCCGTGCTCCTGGTGGTSTCCCTGGGGTTGTTTTTGGCACTGTGGCAAGCAGCCATCCACCCGTGCTGTTCCTGAAGGCTGCATGGATCCACTGGTTACCTTGAACATCTTGTGCTGCTAATGAATTGCTAATACAATTTTCTAGCTAATTTTATTTCCATAGTCCTCACATTTAAATGTCTCCAAAAAGCGAGCGTTTATTTGCTTAATCTCCCTGCGTAATACAATTTGCAGTGACTCACAGTTCTGAACAATCAGCTATGCATAAGTGAAAACAAACTGTTTAGTGGCACAGAGGTCTGAGATGTTTGTGGACGGGATACGAGCACCTGGGTTGGGGTTTGGTCCTGCTGTGTTCCTGCAGCTGGGTACCCATGAGCAATGGGATGGAGCTCGGAGCTCACACAGCACAAGGGATGGGCATATCACCCTCACATCCTGACCCAGGGCAGCTTTGTGGTGCTTTTGGGGGTCCCCTTCCCCCTGAGCATCGCGAGGTGTGAGCTCAGCAGCTCTCAGAGGTGTGTGGGGTGCAGTGATCACCCAACAGCTGCATCCCTGCTGCTGTGTGGGAGCGGGGATCTGCACAAGCGGGGTGATGGGGCATGGCACACAGCGGGGTGAAGGGACACAGCGGGGTGAAGGGACACGGGGTGAAGGGACACTGCACACAGCGGGGTGAAGGGACACGGGGCTGGGGTTCCCGGGTGCCAGGCCGTGCCCCAGCAGAGTCTCTCCCTCTCTGCAGGTACAGACATGGCTGTGTTCTGCCTGCTGTGCGGTAAGCGGTTCCAGACGCAGAGCGCCCTGCAGCAGCACATGGAGGTGCACGCCGGGGTGCGCAGTTACATCTGCAGCGAGTGCAACCGCACCTTCCCCAGCCACACCGCGCTCAAGAGGCACCTGCGCTCCCACACAGGTACGGGGGCACCGCGCGGGCACTCGGGGCTGGGCAGCGGGACACGCTCCRTCCCCTGCGGGGAAAAGAAATAGGGGAAAAAGGGTGAATTGTGTTAAAGGTGTGGAGGTGAGTGAAATGGCTCGGTTTTGAAAAACAAAACAGAAAAAGGATCCGGTGTGAGGTGGCACGTGACCTTCTTAGGGGGTGTGCGATCATATCCGCCTCATCAGCTTAGGGCAGTAGATGCACATAATCAGCTGGTGCTCAGCCCTAATGGGATTAGGGCGACCTGCGCTACGTGGAGCTGCTGCTGCCGTGGCCCCACTGGGCAGGGTTTGGCTGCACGGTGGCCGGGCGGGAGAGCTCGGCTTGGCCGCCTTACGCCGTGTCCTCAAAGCGCCCGCGCCGTGTCCTCAGCTCCTCCCTCGGCATCCCTGGGCAGCTCCGTGGTCCCGGCCACGCCATCAGCACCGTCCCTCGGGGCCAGGCACAAAACACCCCTGAAAGAGCTGATTCTTGGGGATGAGCAGGGCTGTGCAGGATCACAGACAGTGCCACAGCTCTTCACAGCCACCTGGGAAGCATTCYCCACCATCCTTTACCCACACGAGTGGAACGCTCATGCACCCTTCCTGGCAGCACTGCTGTTGCTGTCAAGGAACTGTGTCAGGCTGTGTCGAGCCCCTTTTTTCTCTTTTCAGGCAGGGGGCACACACAGAATCTCCACAAGGGATGYAAAGGTGGCTGCTGGTGGCTGTGCACGTGGTGCCATGGAGGGTCGCTTTGTCTGCCCTGTGCCAGAGCTGCCAGACCCACACGTGGGCTGGGAGTGCTGATGTGGAAATGGGAATCCTGTGTCCATGATAAGCATGTTAATGCTGAGYGCTGGAGCTATTTATAGGCAGTAATCCGATGACCTGGGCTGCGGGTCGGGCTGCGCGTGTCCCATCCCAACCTCTGCTGCTTTAGTAGCTCCTGGCTGTGAACAAACACCGGGATCATCGGCACTTCAGGGGCATTGAATCATGCCGTGTGCCATTCTGCACGGCTGCAGGACGCTTCTCCCRGGGCCAGGGTGCTCTGCGGGCCCAGGCTCCCCTGAAAAGTGGGCGGGTGAAAACGCTGGCTGCCTCTGGCTGYAGAATTGCTGTCTTTGTAGGATCAAAAGCCAAAGTGACAGTTTGGAACTGGGCATGGGGACAGGAAAGTCAACAGCACCCCACAGGCACGGCCTGCATCGCCTTTGGAGGGGGCTCCAAAGTCCATCCCGAGCATCCTCCTCCCCTCAGGTGCCCAGGCAGCAGCTGTGGAGGGGCCGGGGCTGCAGGGCTGGGCTGCGGCAAACAGGGAGAGAGTAAAATATCATTTTAAAGAGGAAGCGAAAGCTCAGGCATGTGAGTATATAACGAGAAGGACAATTTATGCCCAGGCACGAGTGCAGTTTGACACGGGGATAATGAAAAAACGTAGGTCATTGTGGATGACTTAAGCCTTCACAGCTGAAGAAAATGTATGAAATGCGGGGAACATTACACGCTTGGCAGCTCCGCACATCTGCAGCAGGACAAGTGAAATACAGTTCGCCATTCTTTACCATAAACTGTGCTTGTAGGATATGCAGCACAGAGAAATTGTAATTACAGTGACAAGACAAATCAGTAATATTTAAATATTCATGAACAAAGTCTCGGACGATCAATCTATCTTTATTGTCCTTGCCTTCGCGGCTGTAATAAATAAGTAGCTGGAGCCCTCACCTTTCCTTCAAATCATTCTGCCTTTGGTGCTGAACCAGAGTTCATTTATCAGCCGCCTGGTCTGGAGCGTGGGAGATGCCCAGGGCTGGSTCTGTGCCGGTGCTGCTGGGTGAAAAAGCTGGAAATTGGTGGCAGGAGGGTTGCAGCACCCTCCAGTCTCTCTGCCACGCCACAGACCTGAGCATCCCCTGTGCACGGGCATGAAGGGATCAGCACATTGCACGGGGAGACAGGGATGCTCTGGGTGCCCAGGTAAAAGGCTGGGGAGCTGTTTTTGCTGTGGCAGCCCTGACCCACTCTCGTGCTTGCAGGTGACCACCCCTACGAGTGCGAGTTCTGCGGCAGCTGCTTCCGGGACGAGAGCACCCTGAAGGGCCACAAGCGCATCCACACCGGCGAAAAGCCCTACGAGTGCAACGGCTGCGGCAAAAAGTTCAGCCTCAAGCACCAGCTGGAGACCCACTACCGGGTGCACACAGGTATGTGCTGGGCTGTCTGCGGTCAGGCTGCCAGTGCCAGACCTGYCCCAGCAGAAATGCTGGCAGTGTGCCCAGGGCAGCAGCCAGGGAGGGGTAAAGAACCTCTGGATGCGCCAGCACATACCCTGTAAACAGGGGATCAATAGTGCATC